AAAGAAGAGCAAAACAACAGCAAAAGAAGTAGAAGGCAAGAAATAATTAAAATCAGAGCTGAAATTAATGAAATCGAAACAAAAGAAACAATTGAAAAAATTGACAAAACTAAAAGTTGGTTCTTTGAAAAAATAAACAAAATCGACAGACCCTTAGCGATGCTAGTGAAGAGAAGAAGAGAGAGAACTCAAATTACTAGCATACGGGATGAAAAAGGCAATATCACAACAGACACTTCAGAAATACAGAAGATAATCAAAAACTATTTTGAATCCTTATACTCCAATAAATTAGAAGATAGTGAAGGCATAGATAAATTTCTTAAGTCATATGATCTGCCCAGATTGAGTCAGGAGGATATAGAAAACCTAAACAGACCAATATCAATTGAGGAGATAGAAGAAACCATAAAAAGACTACCAACTAAGAAAAGCCCAGGTCCCGATGGGTATACAGCAGAATTTTACAAAACCTTTAAAGAAGAACTAATACCAATATTTTTCAAGCTACTTCAGGAAATAGAAAAGGAGGGAGAACTTCCAAATTCATTCTATGAGGCCAACATCACCCTGATACCTAAACCAGACAAAGACACTTCAAAGAAAGAAAACTACAGACCAATATCTCTAATGAACCTAGATGCAAAAATCCTCAATAAAATTCTGGCGAATCGGATACAAAAACATATAAAAAAAATTGTACACCATGATCAAGTAGGATTCATCCCTGGGATGCAAGGCTGGTTCAATATACGGAAATCAATAAATGTTATTCACCACATCAATAGACTTAAAAATAAGAACCATATGATCATCTCGATAGACGCGGAAAAAGCATTTGACAAAGTACAGCATCCCTTTATGTTCAAAACTCTAGAAAAACTAGGGATAACAGGAACATACCTCAATATTGTAAAAGCAATCTATGCTAAGCCTCAGGCTAGCATTATTCTGAATGGAGAAAAACTGAAGGCATTCCCTCTAAAATCTGGAACAAGACAGGGATGCCCTCTCTCTCCACTTCTCTTCAACATAGTTCTCGAAACACTGGCCAGAGCAATTAGACAGACGAAAGAAATTAAAGGCATAAAAATAGGAAAAGAAGAAATTAAATTATCACTATTTGCAGATGATATGATTCTATATCTAGCAGACCCAAAAGGCTCTACAAAGAAACTATTAGAGCTAATAAATGAATTCAGCAAAGTGGCAGGATTTAAAATCAACACGCATAAATCAAAGGCATTCCTGTATATCAGCGACAAATCCTCTGAAATGGAAATGAGGACAACCACTCCATTCAAAATATCTTCAAAAAAAATAAAATACTTGGGAATCAACCTAACAAAAGAGGTGAAAGACTTATACAATGAAAACTACAGAACCCTAAAGAGAGAAATAGAAGAAGATCTTAGAAGATGGAAAAATATACCCTGTTCATGGATAGGCAGAACTAACATCATCAAAATGGCGATATTACCAAAAGTTCTCTATAGGTTTAATGCAATGCCAATCAAAATCCCAATGGCATTTCTTGTAGAAATAGAGAAAGCAATCATGAAATTCATATGGAAAAATAAAAGACCCAGAATAGCAAAAACAATGCTAAGCAAGAAGTGTGAATCAGGCGGTATAGCGATACCAGACTTCAAACTATACTACAGAGCAATAGTAACAAAAACAGCATGGTACTGGTACCAAAACAGGCGTGTGGACCAATGGTACAGAATAGAGGACACAGAAACCAATCCACAAAACTACAACTATCTTATATTTGATAAAGGGGCTAAAAGCATGCAATGGAGGAAGGATAGCATCTTCAACAAATGGTGCTGGGAAAACTGGAAATCCATATGCAACAAAATGAAACTGAATCCCTTTCTCTCGCCATGCACAAAAGTGAATTCAAAATGGATCAAGGAACTTGATATCAAATCAGAGACGCGCCGTCTGATAGAAGAAAAAGTTGGCTACGATCTACATACTGTGGGGTCGGGCTCCAAATTCCTCAATAGGACACCCATAGCACAAAAGTTAAAAACTAGAATCAACAAATGGGACTTACTCAAACTAAGAAGTTTTTTCTCAGCAAAAGAAACAATAAGAGAGGTAAATAGGGAGCCTACATCCTGGGAACAAATCTTTACTCCTCACACTTCAGATAGAGCCCTAATATCCAGAGTATACAAAGAACTCAAAAAATTAGACAATAAGAGAACAAACAACCCAATCAACAAATGGGCCAAGGACCTGAACAGACACTTCACAGAGGAGGACATACAGTCAATCAACAAGTACATGAAAAAATGCTCAACATCTCTAGCTGTCAGAGAAATGCAAATCAAAACCACCCTAAGATACCATCTCACTCCAGTAAGATTGGCAGCCATTAGGAAGTCAAACAACAACAAGTGCTGGCGAGGATGTGGGGAAAAGGGTACACTTGTACATTGCTGGTGGGACTGCAAATTGGTGCAGCCAATTTGGAAAGCAGTATGGAGATTTCTTGGAAAGCTGGGAATGGAGCCACCATTTGACCCAGCTATTCCCCTTCTTGGTCTATTCCCTAAAGACCTAAAAAGAGCATGCTACAGGGACACTGCTACATCGATGTTCATAGCAGCACAGTTCACAATAGCAAGACTGTGGAACCAACCTAGATGCCCTTCAATAGACGAATGGATAAAAAAAATGTGGCATTTATACACAATGGAGTATTACTCTGCATTAAAAAATGACAAAATCATAGAATTTACAGGGAAATGGATGGCATTAGAGCAGATTATGCTAAGTGAAGCTAGCCAATCCCTAAAAAACAAATGCCAAATGTCTTCTTTGATATAAGGAAAGTAACTAAGAACAGAGTAGGGACGAAGAACAGGAGAAGAAGATTAACATTTAACAGGGATGAGAGGTGGGAGGGAAAGGGAGAGAGAAGGTAAATTGCACGGTAATGGAAGGAGACCCTCAGGGTTATACAGTGGAGGGGGTAGAGAGAGAGGAGGGGAGGGGAGGGGAGAGGTGGGGAGGGGGGAGGGTGGATGATGGGAAAGGCAGCGGAGCACAACAGACACTAGTATGGCAATTTGTAAATCAATGGATGTGTAACTGATGTGAATCTGCAATCTGTGTATGGGGTGAAGGTGGGAGTTCATAACCCACTAGAATCAAAGTGTGGAATATGATATGTCAAGAAATTTGTAATGTTTTGAACAACCCACAATAAAAAATTAAAAAAAAAAGAAAAAAGAAATAATGTCTAGAATTTTTTTTAAATTTAAGGAAAAATATAAACCTGTAAATCTATGATTGCAACAAACCCAAAGCACTAGGAACAAAATGAAAACAATACTAAGAAAAATCATGACCAAACTACTTAAAACAAGCAAGAAAAGAAACACTTAAAAGCAACCAGAAGAAAAAGATATATATGTATACTTATAGAGTAATTAAGCTAAGTATGACTTCAGATTTCTTATCAGAAATAAAACTCACCTGAAATGATCATTCACAAGACTTGCCTTGGACTTTTGCTAACTTTCCACATACATGAGTTGGAACTCCTCATATGTGGAAAAACATGAAGGAGAAACAAAATGTGAAGGACCTTTGTCCCCAAATTCAGGAAACAGAGCTGGCTGACAATGCAGACCACTCACTAGAAACTGACACTGAGAGACAAATTAAAGGTTATGATTTTTTTCAAATGTTTGTATTTTGAGATTTTACTGATACTGCAGATTAGCCTTTTCTTACTTAACACAATTATTTTTAAGGCTGTAAATTTATGTCTTTTGCATTAAGCTCTTTAATTGAAAGTTTTTTCTATACAAAGACAGAATTGATCTAGAGCTTTCTAGAAAGGCCATTGTTTTCTCAGTAATTTGAAAAGCTAACTTTTAAATTTCATATGGCTCGCATCTATTGGTGCCTTTCTGGGTTTTCTATTCCATTGTCTGTTTTTCTATACAATGATATTCATGCACTAATTACATATGTTTATACAATGACTTGATATCTGGTAAGACATGTGCTCATTTTTCCTCTTTCTTTAGTGTTTCTTGATTCTTCCTACACTATTGAATTTCCAAATAAATTTTATAGTCAGTTTTTAAAAAATATATGATGTTATTGAGAGTTGCAGTTAGATCATTCATTTCAACCTGTCTTATTACAGATCAATATGTGTAAAAGTATCCAGTTCTATAAGAAGGGTGGGTCTACAGTGACTGTTTTAATCTTCACAGCAGTAGTGGCAAGGGAGATATGATAGTGAAGGAGTGACAGTCTGCGAGCCTCGTGGGCATCTCCGGGTCAGATATCCTCCCTCTCCCTCTAAGGGTTAGCCTCCATTCACTTAGGGTGCAGACCATGTCAATATAACTTCACCACTGTGACCACGTTTGAGGGCATAGCAAGTGTGTATTCAGAGTTCCTTCAAGGCCTGGAGGAGACTAATCATTGTCAGATTCTCAGAGAGTAAATACAGTGCTTAATTTACTCTTAATCATTTCAGTCAATGCCTTGGCTAACTAGAGGGTTGAATTCTCTGTAACTCCATTTTAATAATATCTTGAGGAATTCAGACAATTTATTTTACATGTATCAATTTTTGAGTGCCTGCTTAGCTTTAGGTATTATTCTAAGTACTGAATATTCAGCAGTAAGAGGAAAAATATACTTTTTGTGTATTAGAGTATATCATGTACAAATGAAACCTCATTTAACCTGTAATTAAAAGGATTTATGTAACAAAATATACATGATTTTTCATATAATTAATCCATTCATTCATTTATCTCACATTATTTATGTTCATAGAGCACTATAATGGTCCAGATATGAGGCTGACAAAAATGACCAAGGCTCAGTTTCTATCTTTGAGGAGCTCCTAGTTTAATTATTTAATAATTGGCAGTACACTTGATAAAACAATTGCATATCAAATGGAAACCAATCTGTCCCTGAACTTTCTCATCCTTTCCATTTGCTTCTTCTAGATGAGGATAGGCATTCACTCGGGCTCCGTGCTGGCTGGTGTTGTTGGGGTGAGAATGCCACGATATTGCCTGTTTGGAAATAATGTCACTCTGGCAAGCAAATTCGAATCTGGAAGTCATCCTCGGCGTATCAACGTCAGCCCAACAACCTACCAGTAAGTGTTCTCTGCCCTCTGTCTTCCCGCCCCTGACTTTGACTAGAGCTGATATCCTGTTGTGAGAAGAATTTTTCTTCATCTTATCATTCTCCAAGATATTATATGTAGATCCACCCAGTCTAAAAGATAATTATTGTGACACAGACTTTTATTTGAACCCTGAGAGAGTGCATGGAAAATCTGACTTAACTGAGGTAAATATAGGTTTGTGATTCCCCACAGTCTCTGTCTCTCTGCAGTATATCTGTTTAAAATAAAAGAGAGCAAATGTTAACGGTCTGAATTACACTTTTGTAAAATCCCAATGTTTTTAAAATGTTCCTCAATGTTTATAAAAATCAAAGGGATAAGAAAGGTAGCTCATTTGTTTTCATTCTTTGGAATAATGAATATAAATAAATAAGAGCTCTGAAGTAAGATATATACTGAGTTCAGAATAAAACTTAAACTGTATTTATCTTAAAGGTCATTTTTGACAGTACTACACAATTTGGCCTCCTGAAATCATCCTTATTTTATGCCTGGTTCATGTCCTCTCCCCCACTATATTTAAGCTCCATATAAGCAGAGACCATGTTGATTTGGATCATCATTATAACCCAGGACTTAGGAAAAATGCATAGAACATAACAAGCACTCTACAAATATTTGTTTGTTTGTTTGTATATTTATTGGTGCATTATAATTATAAATAAAAAATGTAATTCATTGTTACATATTTGTACATGCACACAAGGTAGAAATACAGTACAAATGTTTATTGAATCAATGAATAAATGCTCAACAATAGAGACATATTTCAAATAAGTGGCAAACTTCTCTTGTAGAGATCTTAATAATGGGACTTTGTGCTCTAGTTCATGGAGCAAGGAACTTAAATCAATCATTTCATTTCTATCTTCTTACCATGATCACAGTATTTCCCATGATGGTGTTAATACTTATTTTTCATATTTGGATAACAGTGTAGATGTATATATTTTGTGAAAACTTCACTTTTTAGAAAGAGATGACATGTAAAGAATGGGCCAAAGATCCAGGTATGGTGGCACATGCCTGGAATCCCAGTGGCTTGGGAGGCTGAGGCAGAAGGTTCGAGAGTTCAAAGCCAGCCTCAGCAATGTTGACATGCTAAGCAACTCAGTGAGACCTGTCTCTAAATAAAATACAAAATACAAAACATACTTCAATCAGAATGGCAATCATCAAGAATACAAGCAACAGCGCTCGCTTTGGCAGCACTGGAATAATACAGAGAAGATTAGCATGGCCCCTGTGCAAGGATGACATGCAAATTTGTGAAGCATTCCATGTTTTTTCGTTGTCCAAAGTACATGAATGAATTCACGAATTGTGTGAATATACTTTGTATACAACCAGAGACATGAAAAATTGCGCCCTATATGCGTGATATGAATTGTAATGCATCCCACTGTCATATATAACAAATTAGAATTAAAAATTTTAAAAAAGTACAAGTAGCAATAAGTGTTGGTGAAGATGCAGGGCAAAAAAGGTACACTCATACATTGCTGGTGGTATTGCAAATTCATGCAACCACTCTGGAAAGCAGTATGGAGATTCCTTAGAAAACTTGGAATGGAACCTCCTTTTGCCCCAGCTATCCCACTCCTCGATCTATACCCAAATGTCTTAAAATCAGCATACTTTAGTGGCACAGCCACATCAATGTTTATTGCAGCTCAATTCACAATAGCTAAACTGTGGAACCAACCTAGATGCCCTTCAACAGATGAATGGATAAAGAAACTGTGGTATATATACACAATGAAATATTACTCAGTTTTAAAAGAGAATAAAATTATGGCATTTGCAGGTAAATGGATGGAGTTGGAGAATATCATGCTAAGTGAAGTAAGCCAATCTCAAAAAACCAAAGTCCAAATGTTCTCTCTGATAAGTGGATGCTGACCTACAATGAGGGGCGGGGGTGGGGGCAGGGGAAGAATTCCGGGAACTTTGGAGTGGGAAAAGAGGAGGGTGATAGTGGAGGGAGCATGGGAGTAGGAAAGATGGTGGAATGAGAAGGACAACATTACCTTAGGTACATGTATGATTGCACAAATGGTCCAACTCTACATAGTGAACAACCAGAGAAATGAAGTTTGATTCTATTTGTGTACAATGAAACAAAATGCATTCTGCTGTGATGTATAACTAATTAGAAATAAAACATTTAAATGTTTAAAATAGTAAAATACAAAATAGGGTGGGATGTGTGGTCAAGTGCTCCATAATGCAATTTCCGATATCCCCGCCCCCACCAAAAAAATAGGCCAATGGTGTGGGAAGTTTGCGCTCTCAGCTTAGACATCATAACTCTTCCTGGCTTTGTTTACGTGTGACCTCAAAGGAACCCCTCCAAATCACACAAGACCTGTGCCCTTTGATGCCGATTCTGAGTTTTCATAATATTTTTTTACATTAATTGAGTTTGTGATGATCCTTAGTGGAATTAAATGATTCCAACAACTCCAAACATGGGAGCATTTTGTTCTGTTATTGTCCCAAGACCTGCCAAAATAATCAAATGGAGCCATAGATAGACACATTGTGCTGCCAAGTGGGTAGTTTCTAAAATACATTAACTCTGGCCCCAAATCATGTTATTCCTAATAATATACAATACTTGAACATTCAGTCTATCTTCAGAACAACTTCTTTCTCCCCCTTTACCTATACCTTATCAACCGTCCATTCTTTAACAAATATTTGTTGATCATCTACTATATTCCAAACACTATATTAGGCACTAAGGATACAACAATGCGGAGCCTAAATATGATCTCTGTCCTTGTGAAGGAGATCAAAGACTAGCTGGTACCTGAGTAAATAAGTAACTATTACAAGCAAATGTGGAGATCAAGAAACCCTGAATTACAGTATTAGAGCAGGAGGAAGGGTAGGCTAAAAAAGGATGGAGAAATAAACCGAAATCAGACCAGCACTCAAGGTAAATAACATTAAGGGGTTTCTATCCACTTTTGTCAGCTGTTTCACCACTGTGACCAAAAGACCTGACAAGAACAATTTTAGAGGGAGAGAAGTTTATTTGGCACTCATGGTTTCAGAGTTCTCAGTCCATAGACAACCGGCTCCATTGCTCTAAGCCAAAGGTGTGGCAGAACAACATCATGACATAAGAGTGTGGAGAAAAGTGGATCAGGACATGACAATCAGGAAGCAGAGAGTGAGCATTCCTTACCAGGGACAAAATATAAACCCCAAGGGCACACCCCCAATGACCCACCCCTGTCTGCCTACAGTCACCACCAACCAGTTAATCCCTATCCATGGATTAATGCACTAAGTTAAGGCTCTCATAACCCAATCATTTCACCTCTAAACTTTCTTGCACTGTCTCACGTGAGCTTTTGTGGGAGACTGCATATCCAAACCACAACACTACCTAAGCCCTAAGATCAATAAATGACCTTGAGATGTTTAAAGCAGAGGAGGGGCTGGACCAAATTTGTGATTTTAAAAGATAATAGGAAGGAGAACAATTGCAGGGTTGGGCCAGGTTGGGGTAGAGAAGCAATCCAATAGCTGAGAGCAGGCTCTGCTATCCACGTTTCACTGACAGTCCCAACCATCTGTTGTTTCTGCTTGTCTTCCTGTGCTTCAGCAGAGTGGCTGTACTCAGTGACTTTGATGTTCATTTTAATCAGGTGTGTCATAGAGAGAAAGAGAGTAACTTAGCTCCTGGTAAATCCTTGGACAGTCAAAGTCTCAGATCTCACTCTTGTGTCCTTCTACCCTCATATATACAGTCCAGTCATGGGAAATTCTGCTATTCCAGGCTACACAGGCAGTTTATAAGCCAATAGAATGTACTTCTCCTTCCACTGAACCCCCAAAGTGAAATGCCAGCATCGAACTTGCTGGGACATGCTTTATCAGATGGCAAATTTGCCCTCTCAGAGCAAATAAGAATTTGTGAAGTAAAACTGTGTTTTAAGCTTATGAGAGCTTGACATTTTCAGTTTTCATCTTTGAAATTAAATCTTGTAGAATGTCCAGTATTGCCTGGTTATCTTGAAAACTTCAGAGAGGTTCTTATACAATTTATTTTTAGTAAAATTATTTGATTATCATAAACTTTTTGAGAATGGATTAATTTGATATTTTGATAAGCTGAAATAATTTTCTGGATAGTTGGTTCAGAATATGCTTTACCTGGAAATACTCAAGTAATTGATTAAAAAATACTTAGACAACTGCGGAGTACAGAAAGCTAAAAGATAACATTTTTATGATCTCACTGCTGGTTTAATACTATATTTGCTTCAGCTATTTTTAAAAATAGAAATGCGTAGAACATCTCTTTGGAAAAGTCCCTCCCTTTTATTGGAACAAATATCTGAATGAATTAGATGTGTTTTAAAATCCAGTGGTTTGTATACTGTTCTAAAATCCAGTGGTTTGTATATTTCTACATATGTATGCATAAACAATATAACTTTATTTTAGTTTTTTAAGTTTTTATAAGTGGTATTTTACTATATAACTCTTTCTCTAATTTTGAATTATTTTAAACAAAATTTCATACTTTTAGGATCTATCCATGATAAAACATTCTACTTTAACTCATCATTTAATGACTGTATGACAGTCTAGTGTATAACTACTCTGTATTTTAATTTTTTTATTTATTCCTCAATTGATGAACATGTAGGTTTATTTTCTACTTTCTAATACTAGAAAGTGTATTGTTAAGAACATTATTTACCTGTCCACATTAGATTACATTTCATGCAAGACAATAATTTAGCTTACTCAAGGTTACTAGAATCAAGAGTGATCAAATGTTGTTTATCTTTAACATCATTGTAGACACAGGGAATAAAGTCTGTAAAATCAAAACCACGACTTTGACAAGAGAGGCCTCATTTTTCTAGATTTTATGTGTGTGAGTTATCTTGTGTGCATGTAGTAATGCCCAAGGACCATTTATTTCCTCTTCACCTAGAGCA